GTCATCAGATCCGGGACGTCATCGGGCCGCGTGGAGTACCAGTCCCTGAGTCATCAGATCCGGGACGTCATCGGGCCGCGTGGAATAGCAGTCCCTGCGTCATCAGGTGGTACTTCCACGTGGGAACCTGCACCTCCACCGCGGGAAGCAGCCGCCACCCTGGAACCGGCGGTACCTCCAGCGTACTGCTTTGTTGGCCGGCTGGATTGTCCCCTCCACCCTTGTGATGTCACAGAGTATTTCATGTGCTGAATTCTCTTTCTTGATGGGTCTCTGCTTCGTCATGATGAAACGCTTCAACATCAGGTGCTGCTTCTATGCTGAGCCCATCTGGGCAAACTTCCTCTTCCAGGAAGACTGATTGGGAGCTGTGATGGGAGGTGCAGACCCCCCCAGGGTGGGAGAGGAGGCAGGTGAGGCCGTGCCTGCCCTGGGACCCTGCACAGGGGCCGGCTGCTGACCGAAGAAGCGTCGAGAGCCCCTGGCCCCCCAGTGCACTGTGCTCACCTGGGTCGAACACAGAGGAAACAGCACGTCTCAGATTCAGAGGCAGCACCTTCCTGGACACAGAGCCGTGGAGGAGCCTGAGTGGTGGTCCTGTGCACCCAGGAGGGCTGCTCCCACAGGAGGGACCAGGATGCCCCACGCTGGCCAGCCCCACGCCCTCCACACACGCTGTGTGGTGCACCCGTGAGCCTGCACCTGCCCGTGTGAGCAGCTGGACCTACCCTCCCGGCACTCGCCGGGACTAGAGGCCATGGCCCCAGCGTTTCCGAAGCTCTTGCCCCTTTGTTTCCCTTCTGGAGAAGGAACAGGCGTGATCAACACCTCGTGTTGTCCAATGGCAAGAAGGAATCTCCCAAGTAGTCAGAGATTCGGCAGCAAGAGGGCTGGAGCTTGTGGGGGAGACACGCAGCTCTGTCAGTGGCCGACTCCCAGGTCCCAGCCGTTCCTTCACCACCAGACCAGAGGCCGTGGGCGTGCTGTGTGCTGCCCGTCCTGGTGGCCCCTCAGGCTGGCCTGGCTGTGGACATTGCCCTCCTCTTGGTTAGCGGGGAAGGGGCTCGCGCGGTTAGAAACGGGATGTTCACCAGGAGCAGTCCGACGCTGCTTTGCTTTCTGCGGCCCAAAGCTGGGAGCTCAAAAACAGACAGTCGCTGTCGAGCCACCCCAACTCATGGTGACCCTATGTGTGTCCGAGTAGAACTGTGCTCCATAAGGTTTTCAATGGCTGACTTTTCGGAAGCAGATCACCAGGCCTTACTTCTGAGGTACCTCTGGGTGCACTCAAACCTTCAACCTTTCAGTTAGCAGCTGAGCACATTAACCGTTTGTGCCACCCAGGAAACCTGTTGCCATCGAGTGGATCCTAACAGTGACCTCGTGTGTGTCAGCAGAGCTGCTCCAAAGGGTTTTCTTGGCTGTAATCTTAATGGAAGCAGATTGCCAGACCTTTCTTCTGTGGCACCTCTGGGTGGGTGTGAACCGCCAACCTTTTGGTTAGTAGTAGAGTGGAAACCATTTGTACCACCCAAGGAGCCCCTCACGTGGAGTTTAAGAAGTATGTTCTCAGACATGTAAGCATCGGGAGAAACACGTCTGCTTGCCCTGAGTGCCTGCCTCCCATCCACAGGCTGTGAGGCCCGGAAGCTTCTTCAGCAGGCATGGAGAATGTTCTGGCATCTTGGGGCTGGCGCGCTTCCTCTCCAGCTGACAACAGGAGAACCGCCCAGACAGCTGTGGTCACTCGGCTCTGCTCAGGCCTGGTGGCTGTGGGCCTGTCTGCACCATCTTTTCAGAATTCATTTTGGGCTGAAAAAGGCTCAAAGAAGGCTTTGTTCCTTTGACACTTACTCTGGGAGAAAAAAATCCGTGGAAAATCTGACATCTGCATTGTCGGGAGGAATCAATAGATGGGAGGAATATAATTACCCTCCGCTCCCGAAAGAATTTTTCAGATTTTTAAGTGTCTCGTATCAGCTTAGGATTTGAATGACATTTTAATTATTTTTTTTTTTTCCTTCTTTTCTTTGCCTGGTTTGAATCTCCAAAGAGTATGACTCCTGAGCTCTGAAGGGGTACAGGGAGTGGAGCCGGGCCCACGGGGACAGCATCAGGTGGAAGCGTGGCCTGTTCTCCTGCCCGCCAGCCCTTTCCGTCAGAAACCAGCCTGGTTCTGCCCACATGGGTTGGTGCCCTCCGGCAGAATCATTTAGGACTCAGCAAGGAAACCTCTGACTTTGTGGAGCATCGTTCTGATACAAAACATGAACATTCAAACAGGAATTGTGTATCTGGTGGGGTGTGTGTGTGTGTGTGTTTAATTGTGGTGAAAATATACACAACAGAACACACAGCATCTCAACATTTCTACATGTCCGATTCAGTGACACTGATGACACTCTTCGTGTTGTACGGCCATTGTCACCCTCCTTTTCCACATCATTCCCCCACCATGAACATAGGCTCAGTGCTCCCTAAGCAAACCTCCCGCCCCGCTAAATGGGATCATACGGCATCTGTCCTTCGGCGACCGCCTGACTGTGCTCGGCACGATGTTTTCAGAGTCCGTCGGTGTCGCGAACATCGGGACTTCACTCCTCTTCACGGCTGCCCGTGTGAGCAGTGAGCCGCGTTCTGTTCGTCTGTTCAACTGTTGGTGGAAATTCCGGTTGTCTCCATCCTTTGGCTGTTGGCGACTAGCGCTGCAGTGAACACTGGTGCACAGGTTTATCTGATGGTTTTGAGATTTAAGCAAACCAGTTTCCAGAAGGGTAGGACTCGCTGGTTTTCAAAGTCATTTGTTTCTCGAGGCTTGGAGTAGCAGGGTTCCGGGCGCTTGGGGCGTGGCTTCGCTTGGGGGCGTGGCTTCGCTTGGGGCGTGGCTTCGCTTGGGGTGTGGCTTCACTTGGGGCGTGGCTTCGCTTGGGGCGTGGCTTCAGCTCCGTGTGCCCACAGGGAGTGTGTCAGAGTCCTGGGGAGACAAAGTGGGTGGCTTTGCTGAGCAGAGGCTGAGAGTCCAAATCAGGGTGTCGGCTGAGTCGATTCCTTCTGAGGCTCCGAGATGGAATTCCTCCAGCTCCCCTCCCCCCCAGCTTCTGGGAGCTGCCAGCGATCCTCTGCCGTCTTCCCTGCTTGTGGATGCATCTCCACGTGGCCCCGTCTTCCCTCGTGTGTGACTGAGTATCCCTTGGTAAGACCCCAGACATTGAGGGTTGGATCCCGCCCTACCCCGGTGCGACCTCACTTAACTGATAGCGAAAGAAAAACCCTGTTTCCAAACACCGCTTTCGACGCAGGCCTCTCCCAGCAGGCAGTTTTCTCTGCACACAGGATCACTGCCATCTTGACCTGTGACTGGCGTTGGCCGCCATGGTGACCAAGCCTGTTCTCCCTCGGCAGGGGCTGATCAAGATCCGGGGCGACCGGTGCTGGTGGGACCTGACCTGCATGGACTACCACTACGAGGTGGGTCCCGGACGCATTGCGGGGGGCATGGTATTGGAGCTAGTGCCGTGGGGGGGGCTCAGACACTGCCCCATCCGCTGGGGGGGGCTCCATCCCTCCAGCCAAGAGAACATGGCTACAGCTTTGTCCACTCAGGACGCCTCTCCTTCCTATCTTGGGGTGAGGATCATAAGGTGTCCACAGAGTGTCCTGCACACGGTGGGCTACAGGACGGGCTGTTTGTCCATGGGGCTGGGCTCTGCTGGCTGCTGAGCTGGGACGTGGGGTCAGCACGGCTGCCTCCCAGGACTAGTGCAGACAGCACGCAGAAGACACAGTGCTCAGGCACCGTGGTCAGCAGAGAACCTGCTGCTGGCGCAGCCCGTATGTCCCCCGCTCAGGGGCTGTGTCGACCCCAACCTGGACCCTGACCCTGTCAAAGCTATCTGGGACACCCCAGGGGGTGCCACTGGCACCGTGCCATCCCTCCTGCTGTGGGCGGCCCGGTGGGTGTGGGTTAGAGGGACACATGGACCCCCTCCCAGGGCAGGGGCCCCAGGCAGGCCTGGCCTTCAGACGCAGTTGGGGCATAACTCCGTCACGGCCCGTGGCCTTGTTCAGTAAAGCACACGGTCTGCACATCTCCTGGGCTCCCGTGTTTGGGGCGATAGCAGTTGCTACAGCTGCTACTGCGTGAGGAAGGTGGGAAGAGGGAGGGGGATGGGACGGGGTGGGGAGGCTGGGCCCAGGCCGGGTAAAGGGATGTGGCTTGTCCTAGGACCCGGCTCGAATCAGGGTGGTCAAGAGGCAAGAGGGGACAGTCAAGAGGCGGGGGCGGGCCAGGGCCCTGCAGTGGGGAAGGGTCAGCCTCCTACGACCGAGGCACCTGGCTGCTGCCTGTGAGCAGAGAGGGGACACAGGAGGAGGCCAGGGAGCTGCAGCCACAGCAGTGGGGGAGTAGGGATCCCCTCTGCAGCACGAGCCTTAGAAGTCCTCCCCCAGGGTTGGTGTTGGCGACAGCACAGGCCCACCTTTGGGGCTGGGACTTCTGTGGTTTGACCGGAAGCTGCGGCTGTGTCGGCCGGCGTTCTCAGGACGCGGGGCCCGGCCCAGTGGAGGTCAGGTGGGTGGTTCAGGGCCGCTGTGGCACCAAAGAGCCCTCACTGACCTCCTGGCTGTCCGGTGCCAGGGCGGCAGGTGCGCGGGGCGAACCAGAAACCCCGCCCGGGGTCCTCATCCCTGCAGTTCTGTGGGGTCTCGGCGGGTGGCAGGCTCAGGAGACCAGCTCCAGGGGCCTGGTGACTTACAGTGAGAGCTTGGCCAGCGAAGCCAGGGTGCCACTCGGCCATCACCGTCACCTTTCCTGGGACACCAGCCCGACCTCGGGTCACGCTCCTGCACGTCTGTGACAACCGTCCGTTTGCCCGGGGCCCAGGTCCACACCGTGGTTGACTCCACGCCACTCAACCACGCACTGCAGCCTCTGCCAGGGCCCCGCAGGCCCCGCCCAGGGCACCGCAGACCCGCCCAGGGCCCTGAAGACCCCGCCCAGGGCCCCGAAGACCCGCCCAGGGCCCCGAAGACCCCGCCCAGGGCCCCGAAGACCCCGCCCAGGGCACCGCAGCC